AGAAATCTTTGTAATACGTCTTAACCTATGTTCAATTACCCTCTCCCATAATTTTAAAGTATGACACATCAACTTAATTCCTCTATAATTTGCACACTCTTGTGCATCCCCTTTATTCTTAAAAATGGGGATCAAAATACTCTTCCTCCACTCCTCAGGCATCTTTTTAGTTTTTAAAATAATATTAAAGAGTTTAGTAAGCCAAGAAACTCCCAAATCTCCCAAATATTTCCACACTTCAATTGGGATATCATCAGGTCCTACAGACTTTCCACCTTTGGTTTTCTTTAAAGTCTTCTCAACTTCTTTTTTGCTAATGCGACGATAGAAATGATACGTTTTACTATTATTCACGATATTAAAATCACTAATGTTGATCGTATTTTCAGAAACTTCATTAAAAAGTTTATCAAAGTAACTCACCCACCTATGTTGAATATCTTTTTCTAAGAAAAGTACTTTTTGATTTTCATTTTTAATACACTTTACTTGAGTTAAATCTTTACTTTTCTTTTCTCTTTGTTTGACTAATTTATACATATATTTTTCATTCTGCTTAGTATCTAATCTATTATAAATATCATTAAAAGCTGAATTTTTAGCGTCACAGATTGTTCTTTTAGACTCCATGCGGGCTGTTTAATATTTTTTCCAGTTTTCTAAGTTTTTACATTTAAACCAATTTTTATAACATAACTTCTTATATTTTATCTTTTCTTGCATATTATTATTTCACCACCAACTATTGTTATTTGTAAATATTTTTTCTTTTGATTCTCCAAGAACATTTTTTGCTACTTGTTTAATAGTGTTTGTTATTTTATCTCACATCACATTTGCTTCTTCATGAATATCCCAAATTTTGAAATCTTGAATTTTACACATAAAACAAATTTTATTTGTCTTTTAAGTTTCTCCATCTAATTCTACAATGATGAGTCCTAGTATTTTTTATTTTACAACTCTTAATCTTAAAATCTAAAACTAATAAACGATGTTGGGTATTTAAATCTTCACTTGGAATGACTTTCCAATCTTTACAATCACAATGATCCCTTCTTCTTTTGTGTTTTATTAAATCAACTCTTATAAGTAATAAGATGTTCATCCCTTTTTTTCAATAAAATATTAGTAATAACAAAATCATACGCTAAAATAAAATCTAAAATAGCTCTACCTTCTTCGTTAGTTACTCCAAAACCGTAGCCCCCATGAATATTTCTGAAATCTTCTACCACTCTACCGACATGCCCATTTAGTCTCCTCCAATAAAAATTTTTTTTTCAAGAGATATCATTTGTATTAAGTCTTCTAAGTCATTCCAAAATTTATCTTTAGACCCTGTATCTAAACCTACTTGAGGAGCATAAACACTTATAATATTAAAAATCTTAGTATCAATGACAATCTTAAGGGCTATAATTCTATCACCAACTCTATTAATTTTTAACAACATTATCTTTCAAACTCTTATCTATAATTACACCTACACCATTTCTAGTGCGACTCTTACCAGAATACCAAAGTTTAAAACCTAAATTATCAATCTCCTTAGCCTTTTCTCCCACCCACTTAGTTTCTTGAATACATAAGATATTAATTTTCCTATGAATCATAATATCAACTAATTCCATTAATTTACCATTGAGAGTGCCTATATTCCAAGATCCTATCCTAATATTAGATAAGACCTCTAAGTATTCACTAATGGGATAAAAAAAGCATCATCCACATAACACAAATTGAGAAAGTTAATTTATCAAAATGTAATAACCTAACAAGCTCAAGTGTAATGGCTCAACGGCCAAGCCAGCACCAAAAAGCTTAGTAGTCTTCAAGTCCCACTAGCCCTTATAAAGGCAGCTCTACATGAAAATGGGCATTTGTTCGACACACTACTAGTATTTGTTACCTTGTTGTATCTTAGACTTATCATTATCTACAAAGAACACATATAGTAGCAGGTGTACTCAGCAGCAGCACAAAACTGAAGGAAATGGGTGACGAAACTAAAAATTAAGAAGCGGCGAGTATTTAGGTTTAAAGCTTTCACGTCCTAAATAAATTTATAACTATTATAAGTAATATTATCACTAAAAATATGGTAAATATTAAATTATTAGTGAGCATTTAAGTTTTTGTGGTGTGGGGGGTATACTAAATGATATTAACGAGTTCAGTAAAATTCTACGGGTGGCGAGTGTCTTCCCCAACCAACTCTTAATTCCACCACTGGGTGTACTTGCCTACGAATAGCTTTCACCATCAATGTAGGCCAACATAAATTCGACAGTGCTAGCATATGATTCAAAATGTCTCTATCATGCTTATCATAACAACTGACAGATAAACGACGTAATATATCATTTTGAAAGTGGACAAAAATGTAAGAATGTAATACAAATCAGAGGCTTGGTATAAAATTATTACCTCTTGTCTTACTAAATGATCTAATTCTTTAGATGAGCAAGGCCAAAGGTCCATGAAGTTGTACCGAGAGACGACGTCATGCAAGGTACTCTCCAAAGCTGATGAGTAATCTTCACCTGCCCCAGATAGAGCTTCTTTTCGTCTTACATCAACCTGGGGTGAGAAAAACGTGGAATATAGAGAAAAACCAAAAGATGATGTCAGAAAGGTAGATTTTGAACAAGATTTAGAGATAAAGTAGATAGGTTGAAGTTGAAGGAAGATTAATAAAATCTCACAGGTTATTAGATTTCAAAAACATGCTGAAAAAGCCATTTTGCTGACATTTTGCAACCCAGCAGAAAAAAAAAAGAGAGGCTTCTACATACATAGCACACAATTCTTATGTATTTACATATCTCACACCTAAATTTTCATATTTACAAACATAGCACTAACATCTTTAGCATAACATCAAAAATACACTTTTAAAAGTGAATTACACATTTTCATAAAAACTAGCCACTTTTTAAAAGTGAATTACACAATTTCATGAATATGTTTAAAGCACCAAAGTGCAAGGCACGTAAATATGAAAAATTTAGGTGTAAGATATGTAAATACATAAGATGAGCTATCATAGAACAACAGGAGTATAGAGATGAAAACGAACTCATGTGATGCAGTGCATGCAAAGTTTGTTCATGCGATGCAGTGTATGCAAAGTTCAAATGCAACTCTAATTTCAAGCCTTTGCTTTCATTTTTAATTCAGTTTAAATGTGCAATTCTTCATTCTCTTATGAAAAGTTCAATTATTTAAATTTATTCTTAGTTGGTAATGTTTTTTTTTTAATATCTGATTTAAATAGCATTGATAAATCTAAAAGAAATATTTCATACATGCCACTCAATTCTTATGCATTTACATATCTAACACCTAAAATTCAATTTCTACATGTCACCTTATCTATACATGGAAAAATTGTATTTCATTTTTTAGAAGTTAAAATAGTAGTACTTTTGATGTGATACGAAAGATTTTGGTGGTAATGTAAAAAACAAAATAGGTGTTAGATATGGAAATGTATAAGATTGGGTGGGTGGTATGTATGTAAATGCCCCAAGTTAACATTATGATTGGTATAAAGATTGTTAAAAATCAATATATTATGTAATATCCCTTGTGATTTGATTCAATTAACTAAAATGTATAATTTACCCTTTGCAACGAACAAATCCCTTAGTGCTTCAATTTTAAACTTGTGCAATGACAACCTATTTGTAAGTCGATAGTAATGTATGCCCATTTAAAGGCGTGGAGAGTTTATTTTTGTGAGCGGCAATGAGCTTAGTTGATAAAGAACATGGAAGTTAATGTAAAATTATGAACAAACAACTCATACATTAAATTTAAACTTTAATTAAAGTAAATATGGACTAAATTAAACAAAATTAATAGCTTAACATAAAAGCATTAAGGAGTGATATATATATATATATATATATATATATATCACACCAAAAAAAAAATGTATACTAAGTGTATGAATAAATGGAATAGAAAATAATAGTAACTGTAGTTGGTACTAGCCGGTCGTGCATGAGACAATGGACGACGACAGTGGCTGCAAGGAAGAGGGATAGGAGGCTTAGGGTTTGGCTAAGAGGAGGGCTCCAAAAGTAGCGGTAGAAAGAGGGCAAGTGGCTACCTTGTGATGCCCTAGCCTTGCCCTCCTTAAATCAGGAAGAAAGGCGGTGGCAGGAAGAAATTGGTTTGCGAGGGCAAAATATGGCAAGGAGAACAGAAGGAAAGAAATTTGCGCGACAGGAAAAGGCAAGACGGTGCGAGAGTGAGTGGAAGAGGAAAAAATCGCGGAAGATCGTGTGGCTAGGTAGCGAGAAAAGGAAATCTCAAAATTTTTGCAATTCAAGAGGAGCAAAGGCCGTGTCAAGAAAACGTGGGAAGGAAAGTTTCAGCTCTCACATAAACTAAACAAAAAATTTCAAATTTTCTTCCAAGAAGTGTATGATTAAGTTGCCACACCTACACCTAAGAAAACTCATTTTCCTTTGTAAACCAGGACAAAAATGTAAAAACTGGATTTCCAATGTAACAGAGAAGTGCTTCACAACAAGAAAATAGTACGGCGCTAATATTTTCAATCAGGAAATTTTACGTAAGTAGCACACAATTCTTGCGTATATACATATATCACACCTAAACTTTCATACTTACGTACATAGCACTTGGGTGCTTTAAACCTATGCATCAAAAGGTGTATTTCACTTTTAAAAGGTAATAATAGTACTATTTTTGATGTGATATTAAAGATTCAAGTGTTATGTGTATAAATATCAAAGTTTAGGTGTGAGATGCAAATGCATAAGAATTATGTGCTATGTTTGCCCCTTTCTATTAATATAGAAAAGAATGTACCTTTAAAATGCTGGCCAGATCTCCAAATGTCTGTTCGAATTTAGCAAATTGTTTCCAAACCTGGTTAACAAAGTTAACAAATGAGTGACTAATTAGCTACTAAGTTCCTGGAATATCATGTCCAAACAATTTCTTATTTGCTGCGGAAGAGCATCATATAAACCTAGGCCACTAAAAGGATAATATAAATTGCTCAAAAAAGTGCAAAAACACAAAATGATATCTACAACGCAACTTTACAATCTTGTCTAACTAGTGGAAGAAAAGAAAAAAAAAAGGAAGATTTAGATACGTACCACACAATTCTCATGTATTTACATATCTAACACCTAAACTTCAGTTTTTACAAACATGCCTCCTTAAGTATGCATGAAAAGATGTATTTCACTTTATAAAAGTTAATATGGTATTTTTTATGTGATAAAAGTTAATAAGGTATTTTTTGTGTGATAAGAAAGATTTGGGTGGAATAAATGTAAAATGTAAAAGTTTAGGTGTTAGATATGTAAATTGATAGGAGCTGGGTGGTAAGTGTGTAAATGCCCCCAAAAACTAACTTAAATCATGGATAAAAACAATGTACCTCTCCAGAATTATCAGGGGGGAGCAGGCTTAATGCACGCTCAAACAAAGCACGTACATTTCTGTCATCGTTTAAACGACACAAGAAATCTGCATATCTGTGAACTTAATTTAGATCTTACATGTGTAAAATGTTCATCCATATGCATATATATATAGGGGCATTTACCACCCAATTCCTATGTATTTACATATGTAACACCTCGACTTTACATTTTACATTTATACCACCTAAATCTTTCATATCAATAAAAAATACCACCCTTGTAGTTTTTAAAAAGTTAAATACACCTTTTCGTGCATAAGGTAAGGCGGCATATGTAAAAATTTAGGTGGTAGATATACAAAAACATAAGAATTGAGAGCTATGTATGTAAATCACACACAGATTCACACACACACAAAGATATACATACATACATACATACATATATATAGATACATATATATATATATATATATATATCAGGTGTAAGAACTTACTCAAGTATGTAACCAGGCTCATTCATAAACTTCTTTAAGCCTGCCTCAAAAACATTATGAGCAACCTGCAAGTAGAGGAACAATTCAAAACGAACAGTGTAGATTATTACTCTTCAAAAATAGCCAAGTGATCTCATAGGCGGAGCCAAAGCTAAAAATGATTATTAACTAAAAGAAGCACACTGATATTAAGCAGAAGAAAGAGACCTAAAAATAAGAAGAAAATGAATGCTTTCCTCTTGACATGCTAGGCACATATGCTAAAACAATCCAGCTTAAATAAATAGATTTAAATTAAATAAACTTTATCTTAAAAAAACTAAGTTATGGAGAGGGTTAAAATAAGGAACTCAACATTTCGCTTGTTCTTTAACCAATCATTAATAAAATATAATTCTTTAAAAGAAAATCTAAATCCTAACAAAAGTTTGAATTAAAATTTAATATTCTCCAAAGGAAGATAATTCAATCTAATAAAAAAAATGACCATAAATACAAATGGGCAAAAAAAAAACTTCAAAATGGGGACTAGACATTAAAAAAAAAAGAGAAAGCAAGTATGTAGAAGCATTTTAGGGCTTATAAGGTCCCCATCAAGGGAGAATTATTAGATTTGAAAACCCTAAATAGAGGTACATGTAAATATATTAGAGTACACAATTGTGTATTTTATTTTAAAGTGTATTTAAATTTATCGAAGTACACAACTTTATACTGACTACCTACTGAATAAAATCAGAGCACATAATTTGTACAAAAATAGTGTACTACAAAATACCCGCGCATTGTTATGTGTGGTTCTTAGACATAATAATTTATCCTATCAAGGACTCGTGCAATCCTCAGAAATACTAATTGACCCAATGAATTATTATTCCATAAAGCATCGTAAATCAACTACAAACAAAAAAGAAAAAGAAATTTTACAACATTTTCATTATTTACCCTCCCAATATAGCAGAGCCGCCCGAAGACCCTTAATCTGTCAGATTCTAAGGGAGGTGTAGAAAAAATTAGAAACTACAAAATTTTTAAATATTTAAAATTATAGGTTAACCTAAGTAAATGTAGAAGCATCACAAAATTTTTTTTATGGTATATGCCCTTGGTAAGGGCAACGTGCAACATGCAAGCATGCCTACGAACGAACAAAGAATAAAAGAGATTGGAGGGGCGGCTAGGGCAAGACCAATCTAGTTCTAAAACCAACAAAGTATGAAATCTACTTCACATATTATTGATGAAAATGTGAGATCACATGATGCGAGGGCTCTGTGAGTCAACCTGACACAAACAGATCCAACCTCACTGCTAGATCGGATCATCCAGACCAACCTAGTTGGGCGGAAACTTCCACCCCACATAATCTGAAGCCCTTGATTCCTCCCCTATCAAATCCTCTCCTTTCTACTTAAACTGAATTTCAAAATCTTGCTTATTCCTTTCACTCTCCTTTAATTCATACCTATTTCTCTATCCACCTAGTTTACCCCCTACTTTCATCTATTTATAATTGTTTTGTTCTGATTAATAAACAATTCTTGATCATTTCTTGATTTCAGGTGTCTTCCAGGCGTTTCCTCTTAGATAGTTATATCTGATAGCGAGCGGGGCTACTATTGTACCTCGCCGAAGGTGGTGTGTTTCTCCCCTCTGCTCCTTCCTCCCGTGTCAGTCACCAGCGCCATCCTCTGCACAGAGAGTCCACTGGTCCCGTCTTCTGCTTGATTCAGCCGATCGCAACTCCCTCCAGCATCACAGATGAGTTGCAATGCCTTCCTTGTTCACTTCTCAGTCGTTTGCAAATCTCTCCAGCACCCCAGACGAGCCGCTAACTACCTCACGTTTGCCCTCAGTTTGCAAATCCCTCCAGTGGCACAGACGTGCCCCTAGCCCCCCTCCCGTTCCTCCCTAGTTGTTCGCAGATCCCGACACCACCGCAGACAAGCCACAGACCTCTTTTTTCGCCCCCAATTGTTCACCGCTTCATCAATGCTCCTTTCTGTCGCTTCCCGCTCCCAATTCCAGGGCCACACCTCTCGCGAGCTTTCGTACGACACTTCCAACAAACTTGTCGGCCCTAACGTCACTCCTACAGCATCTTCTACTTGTCGGATCTATCGCGCCCACTCCTGAAGGTTGTTTTGTCTTCTGTTATTTATTTACGTTTGTTCTTATTTTCTCAAATTCGCATTATCATTGTATGTATCGTGTTATTGTTATTATAGCGTCGTCCTTGTAACTTTTTTTTATCAACAATAAATTTGTGTGTCGTTTGTGTCGTGGTTGGGTTAACTCCAATATAATCATATATATACATAGAAAATAAAAAAAGGAAACAAATGACAAAGAAAATATCCCTAATTATGTGGACATAAAATCATCTCGCCCTAATATAACACTTTCCAAGACTATTATCCTTAATTTTTCCACGCTTTGGTCAAGAGATCATCACGACAACTATCACGACAATAAAAGAGACAAACTAGAATGCATATAGAATCTAATTTATAATCATCACCCAATGAAAAATTGAAGTTTTGCAAAAGTTCTCAAGCTAATAGTAGTATGCTTGAAACCTAAAAAGCCTAAGCAAACCCATGTGTTTAGAACAAAATCACATTTAGAAAAAAGGAATAGAATGATTAGTTAATTTTCTTGAATTTATAGACAATAGCTAAATGATTTGCAACAACTTTGAAAGATTGAAGAAATGTCCAACCTTTACATCTTTGTCAAGACAAAATGCCATCATAGCAAAAGCAACAAATACATGATAAGTACAGTTTGAGAGCTTCTGAACATCTAGGAAATATTTGCGAGCGACTTCAATCCCTTCTGTTCTCCTCAAAAACTTAATAAACTAGAACAGGTAGAAAAGTCCAAGTTAAAAAATGAAATTAAAATATTTTAAAATAAAGCGGAGGGTTAAAAAAAAAAAAAACTGCTTGCCTGAATATGAGCAAGTGATGCGTCAGTGGCATTGTTATCAATAAGACTTTCATAAATTTTTTTGGCTGGCTATAAAAAGAGGGAACAAAAAGTTATAAATTTTGAAAACTGAACCACTCGCACATAAAGCACAATGAATTAAAAGACCTGAATTGCTCCACGGGACTCTTCCAGCTCTGCATAAGCATACTTCAAAGGTGCAGAATCTATAAAAGACAATTGCAAATTAATCTACCATATGAACTTGGTAAGAACAAAACCACTAATTTAAACTAAAATATACACTGGAAGTGATTCATTATGATGATAATACACAATATATACAATAATTAAAATATTGAAGAAAAAAAAAAAGGGGG